TTCTTCTTCTTCTTCTTCTTCTTCTTCTTCTTCTTCTTCTTCTTCTTCTTTTCTTTTTTTCCCTCCTCCTGGGGTGTGATTCAATTAGACAGTTTCAAAATGATTTTGTAGAAGCCTTATTGTCATTAATTTCTAGTCTTAAAAACTTCAAGCAGTCTTCTTCAATAGAGTCTTAAAATAAATTTTTTACCTCTTCCTTCCCACTTATAGCAATAAACTTTTAGTTTTTAGTTCCAATGTTCCAAAATCTTTTATCCCCTTGGCTTTAATTTTTAGGTTTATTTACCTTCTTTGCCAAGCAGGTTTTCCAGATTTCCGTCTGCTATTCCGTAGGGAAGGAGAGTGAGAAGAAATAACTTTCCCTTTCACAACTTTCTCGCCGCTTGCACAGTCTTTCTGGGAAACAATGTAGCAATAGAAAAGGCAAATTTCCAGGTTTTAAAGGCTCCTCTTTCTCCCGGTTCAGCCAGAAAACAAAAACTTTCACCTTCTTCCTCCTGCATGATCTTGTCCAGCTGCAGGCTTCTTTGTGGCGGCCATTACTGACCGCCGCTCCACCGCCTTGGGAAAAGGGGGTTTTGCCGGCTGGGGAGGGGGTCTGCGACACCCCCAAACCCCTGTCCGGATCCCCCCTATCTTCAGCTGCCTCTACGGGACAGCTATATCCTCCAAATCCAAACGGATTGGAGGAACCTCGGCAGCGAGCGCAGCAGGGATCGCGCGGAATCGCGAATCCCTGCCGCTGCCGAAGCCTTGCAAGCCGGAAGTCCCTAATCATCTGGGTTTTAAAATCAGGGATTTAATTCTGGTTGACTCTGTGAACCAAGACTTCCAGATTGGAGATACAATCTTGCCAACTTCTGCCAAAGATGGACTAGAGAGTGCACATATGAAATTTCTTAAGTTGTTTGATGTGTCTTCAGTACAGAGTCCAGGCTCACATCTATATAAGAAAGAAGGGATCACCACCACCCTGGAGGCTTTCAGTTTTGTGGCGATAAGGTTGATATGTTGATAAAGCACTCTAGTGTGCAGGTATTGCCTGGTTGGCCTTGCTAATTCTGGAGTCAATTTCTTTGTTCAAAGATCCATCACTAGAGATGATGCTTCCCAAGAATCTGAGGCTGTTTACATTTGTCAACTAGGTGTCATCAATAGTGACCTTTGGTTCTACAGATATAGATAATTTAGCATGGCCAGCTAAATTATTTCAATCTTGTTCAGACTGATAATCAGGCTGATTATCTGATAATCTAATCAGCTGATAATCAGATCATAGCTGTATCTGAGAAATTGTTCAGCATCAATTGGAAATCACTGTCTCTGTGCATCAGCTATGCACAATCATTAGCAAAGAGGGTTAATAGAGTGACTATATAGAAGCACTTTGTGCATTCAAGGGGTGAAGGTCAAAGAAAGGAGCATCCAATTGGTACCTGATAGACAGTACCACTTGGACAAAATGTGATAACATGCAAGTGAAGAACAGATTGAATAGAACTGTGTTTAGCACACAATCCTGTTTAACTCCATTGGAAATGACAAATGCAGCTGATCAGCATGGTAAAAAACTTGTCTTGTCATTCTGTTGTAGAGTAGCTGAATCAACCTCACAAATTTCCTTGGATGTCCATAATGTCTCAGGAAGATCCAGAGAGACTCCCTCTTTACAGTGTTTAATGCCTTTGTGGGATCAAGGAAGACAGTAAAGAGGTGTGTTCTGCTCAATGCATTTCTGGACACACCTCATATCAAATACTACTCCCACTGTACTCCATTCTGCCCGAAAGCCACACTGCACCTGTGGGATATTCCTTTCCAAGACAATGACAAGTCCATACAAGAGAATGCAGGCAAAGATCTTGCCTTGGTGTCGTATAGCAGTGAGATGCCTCTGTAGTTTCCACAATCTGATTTGCTCCCCCACCTCTGCCATTTCTCATTTTCATGCTAACTACATGAAATACATTTTATTTTCTCTTCACTTCTGCTGCTAATCTTCCATGTAACAAGTGCAAAGTTCTTATTGTGGATCTGTGCACTTCAAGCAAGACCAAGCTGATCAGGATAAACTCACAAAGGACTTGAAATAGCTTTGATTGATTGCTTTCAGCAATTCCTCTGCCAGACTGAAATTGTTAGATAAGCTCCAGAATGGATCGTGATACCAGAGGTAACAATTCTCCCATGCTAATAAATACTTTTGATAGTAGCATTAACTTATAGCACTATGCTGTGGTCTCAGTTCTAATCAGCTTGCAGAAAACATTTGTAATTTGTTTATTTGAGAAGAGGACCCAACTACTTTTAAACAACAATAATGTACAATATACCTTTTTAAAAAGTGCAGTAATTTGTAGCTATATTTAAATGTAGACCTCATGACCATAACATCTGAACAAATGATACTTTTTTGTCATCAACTCCCTGCTTTTTATATATCATGGATTAATAATTCTGGAGAACATGCCCATTATTTTTGACATATTGCTTTGTCTGAATGAAGATATTCTCCACAAAGAGGAATTTCCTCTTTGACCATGCTCCTTTTTACTATTTTAGTGCTGAATGCTTTGGGAAAAAGGATTGTGTGAATATAATTTCTTCCATTAGATTTCTATTTCAATTCTATTTTCCTGAAAGATACTGCTTGCCTTATTTAATAGCATAAGAGAAAAACATTGTTTTAAGGAGAGAATTTTTGATGAAAATATTTTAAGGAGGAAAATGTTTACCTGTTTTCTGCATACCTATTTTTCTCCTGAAAATTCAGAAGTTAGTGAGAAGGCATATTTAAAATGTGTTCTTGGTGTAACAAGTAGTTTGACTTGTGGTGGGTAGGAGCGGGGGTATGCCACTAAAATAGGGTGCATCAAAAAGAAATTACTAGGTTTTGTTTAATTCACAGTTCTGTAGGGTTAGTAACTCTGCCCAAAAACAATAAAATCTTGGTAATTTCTTCATATATCATAAAAATGAATGGCCGATTTATCCGCATAATATTAGGCAAAGAGTATGCCATGATTTCTGATCCACTGACACTTGCAGCTTCTGTTCCTTTCTCATCCACCTCAATCCTTGCTCTTTGAAGAATCTAAAAAAGAGTGAAAATGTAGGGAGATCTTTAGCAAAATGCTCACATTTCCTATCAACCGGTCTGCAGATTTCCACTTAACTTACTGAAAATTGAGCATGCATACATTTTTTTCACTTATATGGAAGCAGCATCCTAAATCCACAGCTACAAACACTTTGTCTCAATAAGAACATACTGGGGATACACCAGCATTGAACTTCAAAGAATAAAAATTCTGTTGAAGGGAGATTAGGAAAAGGGAAATTAAAATGGACAGTGAAAAAGATCAAATATCTCCAGATTTCTGGACATGACTGAGCCCCAAAAGTCACTAGGACAGTTAACACAGTCAAGGAAGTTATTAGCAGGAAGCAGGTTTCTTGTAGGACAGGAGTCCCCAACCTCTGCGGTTGGTAGCCTAGCTGGGAGGGGGGAGAGGAGAACTGGGCTGTGTGTGCGGTGGGCTGGTGCATGAGCATGTAGCTTAGTTTGCATAAGTTGTGTGTGTGTGTGTGTGTGTGTGTGCAGAAGTGCACTCCAACCCACTGCCTGTGCGAATCATGAGGGGAAAGGAGAACTGGACCTGCATCCCCATCTGCGGGATGTAGGCAACATGTGAAAGTGTTGTGGCCCGCCAGCAGCTGATGGAGCTGGCAGCAAAGTCAGACAGTGAAGAGGTTGGGCAGGAACCTGGGCCGGTCCTGGAGGCTGAGGAAGGCTCAGACGAGGGCTCTGCGTCAGAGGCAGAGATGGGGCCAGGGCAGGCTAGCACTCATCAGCTGCCTTCAGACTCGGACAGCAGTGAGGCGGGGGAGCTTCTGGAACCGGTTCCCAGCCTGTGCGTGTGCAGAGCTGCCAAAAAGAAGGAACAATTAATTAAGAACTCAGGGTCGACGTGGAAGTAAGACCACAGGTAGACGATGAATGGCCCCTTCCATAAGGATTAAAAGAGGAGCAAAGCGGGGGGGGGGGCTTTTGCAGGAAACCATTCATTCATTCATTTGTTCCAGTCTCGTGAAGATTTGTCTGTGCAACCTAGAGACTCTGTGCCCAATCCTTCCCTGTCAGCAATGCATGTGGAAATATTTATCAGGCAGCTTTCAAAAATAGAGAAGGTCTGAGCTAATGATTATACCTTTGCAAGACTGTTTGCCAGGCTGTTGGCTGAGTATGAATACAATAAATTCACATTCATTTAATAAAAGAGGTTTTGCCATTTGTTTAGTACTATTTGGGGAAGCCTAGGACAGAATAGAAACCACGCCCTCTCCTCTCTTCATGGAACCAGTCCCTGGCGCCCAAAAGATTGGAGGGGTCACTGAACTATAAGAATCCTATTTCTTTTTTCTATTGCCTCCAACTAATTAAATAGCTAGCATAATGAAGTTGAGAAAGAAACTGTTTAGCAAGTGGGTCTCCAGTAAATGAATGGGGTCTTCATGTTATTTCTTAAATATGTTTGGTTGAACAATATAGTAAGCTCCAGAATTTACAAATTATTATTTTTTACCTGTGATATTTTTACAAATTTATGATCTGTGAGATGGCTTAGGTCTGCTTTATAAGAGAAAAGATCTTTAATTCCCAAATCCTGAAGCAGCTGATCCATGTGATATGTCTGATCTAGTTTGAAGCTTGGAAAGTAAATATCCATTTTCCTGTAATGGAAACAAATATAAATGCAAATTGAAGGGAAATGTGCACACACTGGCCTTTGCATATACAAAAAAAACTTGTGATGATAAATAGCGGGCAGCAGAACATTTGCATATTGTCCCCTTCTTTCTGGGTGCTACGAAAATTTGAGCACCAATGATGCAAAGGCAATGACTGTGACAAGTCTTACTTCAATTAATTGGATAGGTTTAACTTGTGCAAGAGGAATCTCTATGAAAATTTCAGACATCTGGAAGGCTTTCACAAAAATGATGCAGAAGATATTACAGAAGATATAGACCTTTCTAAATAAGTAAAAGCCAATTCTTTTTCTTAGTAGACTCTGTAATAGGGAACTCAATGGCTTTTATTTATTTTTGATGAAGCAATATATTGTAAAGATCAAAAGGCTGTCTTTGGCAAATTTCAATGGCCTATTCAATGGCCTACTCACTTTTCTTTCTCTTCTTGTGGTTTCTATTGCTATTTTTCTGTTAGAGTGGCCATTTTAATTTGTACTACAGGATTTGTATCCGTGATTTTAGGAATCAAAAATGTGACATGATTGCTATGATTTGTACCTGATCTTCATGGTCTGAAGCCAAGATTCCACACGTTCATTGATTAGATCATCTTCAACAAACATATAATCAGCTCCCTTCACAGGCAAAACAATCAGCATCTGCACACTTCCTTTGTATGGCAGCTTTATCACATAACACTGCAAGGCTTTATCAAACATGGAGGCAATCCTGTCTGTTTTGAACATCATTGGCACTTGAACAGTCCTGTAATTGTCTATATAGAAAGTTTCCAGCTCTGTAAATTTAGCAGAAAATGGATGTAGCCATTTGCCTGAGAATATAAAGAAATGCAACATGTTATTTTATATTGTGATATAATCCAGAATTATTGAGGGAAAATCCAACAGTAATCCAGGTACAAATCAGCCTGATTTACTTCAGTTGAAAGATGAAGTTCTATTCTTCCATAGTATGGCTGAAACTTTAAATCTGTATTGCACTCCTGTGTTTGAATCTCTGGTTCTGTTCCAATGACAGGGACTAATGCCAGTTTCCAATGAGATTCCTTTTCATAAATAGGAGCTGCACATTAATCAAGTCTCTTGTTAGAGATATAGTGATTAATTATATGAATTGCCAGTTCTATCCAGTCTCATTTCATTTTTAAAAGCTGATAAATGCTACTGCTTACTTTTTCGTACTGACTGGCTCCATGCATCAGTGTGCAGTTCTACTTCACTGTCACAGATTAATACTGTAGTGCCAGTGAGCTCCATGACCAAATGGAGACTTAAATCTGGACTTCCCACCATTTGAGAATAATCCTACTCAGTACATTTAATCCAAAATTCATTCATTCATACCTAACTATTATCCTGCTTAACCATTTCTTGGTTCTGGTGCTACCTACTTTGCTTGCAATGCTAAGGCAGAACATGGCCTCAAGTGAGAAGTCAGTGGCTCTACATTTGATATCTATGCCATTGACCAGTTTTCCTTCCCTGTTGGAGATTCAAAGGTCTCCCATTCCACTATCATTCCCAGCACAAGTTTGTGGGATCAACAAGACTTCTTTGAATAGCTATGGAGGCAGAACTAGAGGCTCCATCGCAATATATTTTGGTCTCTTAAAAGCTAGTGCCTAGTTCAATGTGATCATGCCAATTCTCCCTACCCCCACACACCAAGAAATGTTTAGTTACCTCCTTGTAAACTCCAGCTGGAATGGGTGCCATCCTGCATGTTTTCCAATTTGCTTAAAACTCACCGAACCCTCTATGATTTAAACCGCCCCTTTATGTTCAAAATAGTGGATGTACTCATCCTCCCTCGTCTCTCAGCAACACACTTTATTGCAACTTTGCAATTAGAAAAGAATCAGAGCAAGAGCTAAAAATACAGAAGTGAAATTAGCAATATTTAATTGCAATAGGCTTTTTAGTTGCCATGGAGCTCTTTTCAAATATTTGACAGGCAACAGCCTATGCTGGAAATATTTTTCTGGTCCCATTCACTCCCCGTTTTTTGGCTATGAAAGTGACAGAGAAATGAAATTCATGATATTCATTAAAAAATTAGAAATTCAACAATATACAGCCCAAATAAGGCAATACTTAATTGACCCTCCCATGAAAATTGCAAGAAGAGGTATAATGAATCTGGACATCTGTATGAGGCCTGGCCTTGATTCAAAATTATATTCATTAAATATTTTAGTAGGGGGAGAGAATTCACTTGATAATCTAACTGCATTCAGCCAAAACATATACAGAACTCTGGACATAAAACTCCTTCTGGACTTAACATTACATTGATAAAGATCAGAAATGGCATAAGGAAGCATTGTCTCATTTCACTTTCACATATAATATTCTTCATCCCTACTATAAGTCTCTTAATACATTAGGGTGAGAGAAGATGCCATTTGAATTTCCCTTAAATACCATTACAAAAATTAACTAGAATTTTCCTTTTGCTATGTCCTGGGTTCAGCAAATAGGATAAGAAACATGCTAATGTGCTAAATGATTATGCAGCAATATTTGCGTAGCCATTTTTCCAGATCACTCCTTCCCTATCTGATGTCTTCTACCTGTGCTGGATCTCAGGTCACAGAAACCTGGCTGGAGGTTCTAACAATATCTTAAACAAATAGGAGTCACCAGGTAGGGAATATCATGCTCTGTTTTATTAATGTAGAACTGTAGAAAATTTAATTTCTCACTCCTGGTTTATATAAGAATTGATTATTAAAATGTGGGGATTTTTTATGTATTCCGGGTCAACTTCAAAGAACTTTTGAAGAGTCATTTAGATGAAATGGACCATATAAAATTATCAATCAAATAATCAATCAACTTCCCCTTGAAATGGTGGCTTAGCATTCTGGTTCAATTAAAATAATGGAATTCTGAATATTTCAGGGGCTGTGGTAATTTCAGTTTTTTTCAGTGACAAATTCCACAAAACCACAAGGAATTTATATATCATAAACGTAGTTCTCAACTTATAACTAGTGGCCATTCAAAGTTCATTCAGACCCCTTGTGCTGTGGTGGCACGGTGGTTAGAATGCAGTTTCGCAGGCTAAATCTGCCCACAGTCTGCAGTTTGATCCTGATGGGGTTCAAGGTTGACTCAGCCTTCTATCCTTCCGAGGTTGGTAAAATGAGAACCCAGATTGTTGGGGGAAATATGCTGACATTGTAAACTGCCCAGAGAGTGCTATTGCTACTTACAACCATGGCAGCACCTCCTCTGTCATTCGCCCTTAGGAATGCTGCAGTACCCACCTGCCTATCTCTACCACCTATCTTCCTCCATTGACCCCACCAGGTCACTGCAGGCCTTGGGCCTTCTACCCAACCCACTAGGCCCCATATCCTCTTGCTCACTTACCTTTGAACTAAAGGTAGCAAGCCACTTTGTTGCAGGGTCATGTGGTGTGATCCTGGAAGAGGCTGCCATTTTCTGAGTGGCTACATTGAATTGTGGTTGCTCAAGAAATGGTGGCTACATCCAGATTCATGTCACATTGCCCAGCAACAAAGTGTGGACACCAAGGAATGGGAAGCAGATCATGGGATGTCTCAGGTGATAGCTTAAGAGGCCTGGGATAGGTAGGCTTAGGCCTATGGTAGACCTCCTAGGGCCTCCTCTCATCCCTGAGGCATCCATGCTCTGCTTCAGGACCCACATAGTCATTTAATGACTGCATCAAGGAGAGCATTAGTGATCATTAAGCAAGGCTGTCTCACTTAATGGCTGTCACAACATACAACTATAATGAGCAGGTTCCATTATGGTTGTAGGTTAAGGACTACCTGTACCACTCACTATATCTTAGTTTTTTCACTTGTTATGAAGGTGGTGAATTGCCTTAAATTTTACATGAAATAGCACTGTACATTCCTGAAGGTAAGTAATTTTATTTATTTATTTGTTTGTTTGTTTGTTTGTTTGTTTAGTCAAATGCTTACAGTATAATAGAAATAAGAATAAGCACAAGTTTAAATACATGAAATAGGAACTAATAATTGGGGACAATAGGACAAGGACGGTAGGCACAATTGTGCACTTATGCATAATGTATACACATTTCTCCATCTAAATACCACTTGCAACATTTGCACTTCAAGTTCAAAATAAGAAATGAGGACCAGAAGTGATAATAGCCTTTACTACATGGAAATATCAGTGACGTATGTCACATGAGAAGGATAATTGATGCAAACCAATTGGCCTTTCCACCCATAAACAAAACATATAGGAAAAGGAATAATAACTTTGAGAATGAACCCTTCTGTTAAAACATTTGGGGAGACTAAGTTAAGGAGAGATTCCCCACATTTTTACAGAGAGATACTCTTATAAAACTACTGTAGCTGGCACCCTGAGCTCTCCTCTTTAAAATCCATGAAATAATCAATGAAAAAACAGTTACCTTGAAATAGTATGTAATTCAGTAGAATAATTTTAGCATGCTGATCAAAAGCATGAAACAGTGTAGGGATCTCTCCTCTTGTGTTCTTTTTAATGTGCTCATTGACAATTTTTTTGGCAAGAGTAGAGTTGCGGAAATCAACTGTCAAAAAATCCATGTCAAAGTATTGCTTGGACAAGTTATGGAAAGCATCCTTGATCTGAAATTCTTCCTGGATGAAAGAGAAGCTATTCTGCGAAAGAGTGAACTCTTCATTTTGGGTGATGTTAAGCCTTAGTTGTTGGAACAAAGTCAGAAACTGTTCATCTTTTTCTTTCATAAATGAAAGATTTAAAGATTGACTTATTTGGTGGTGGGTTTCCCCTTCGGAAGCCAACATGAATATTGCTAGAGCAAAAGATAGTGATAGTGGGGAGAAGAAGATATTGTTGTCATGCTGCAGTGCTATTTTCCTGTAGAGATTGAATCCAAAATTGTTAATCTTTTCTGTGAAATTGTGCAAAGAGACTAATGGTGAAGGGCTTTCTGTAGATGATTCTTGAGTAGTATCGTGTGGATATTGTTTATCAGAATCATTGAAAGGGAAGAGATTTAACATTACGCTCTGTGGTACCTCCACTCCTGAATTTTCTGCTATTCCATTCGATATGTACATTTCAGTAATCAGTCCAAAGACCAGCAAAAAGTTAGTTTTCATTTTGCACTTCAATTACTTCTTTCTGGTGAATAAATTGATGACACAAGTTAATATTGTAATTAAAAAAGGATGTTTTGGCATTTGGAGGATGTAATAGAACCCATCCAACTCATTTATCCCAATGTTTTTTCTAAAGGTAACATCAATGGGATTATCTCATGTTGCTTTATTACTTTCACATTAAGCTAAACTAAGATTAGAGATCTTCCCAAATTCACTTAGTGTTCATTCTTACACTGAAATAACCCAACACAATAATGAAAATACTAAAGTCTACATTATTTCATATTTAAAAGGCCTTACTCAAGGTAACATTTATTAACAGAGTCCCCATTAAACATGGAGCTGATAGCAAGACAATTTTATGAAATCTAATAATGGAAACTCCATTGACCAGAAAGGAAGAGATTCTAGGCAAATTGACTTAGTCTTTCCAGTCTGATTAGATCATACTTTAAAAGGAGGACACTTTGAATGCACTTTTAACTGATAACAATATATAAATCATTTCCATTTTGCACCCCACAATACTTTTTATTATAATTTTAAATTAAATACAAATGCTTCTATCTTACCCGGAGGACAGCCTCTTTTTTTACTTTTCTGAAGCCTGAAAAAGGAAACAAGTTACAACATTAAGGAATGGTGAGGTAAATATTTGCTATTCCAAAGTGTAGCTCCATAGTTTTGTCTGTTGTAGATTAACTGGATGACAAACAAGGATGTTTTCATTTTGCCACAGAACACAGTTAAAGGTGAAATAACCAGATTCCAGTAAGTAGGGTCTCTTGGGTATCTGGATTTAAAATTAAAGAAATAAACAATCATAAAGAGAAGGATATTTGTCATATTAAAGGGCTGTTCACAAACTCTAATTGATATTAATCAATCATTGATTGCATTGTACTAAGTCCTGTCCTTATTATATCCCTCCTAATTATGAAAACAACACTGTTTCTTTGTTTTTCAAATGCTGAGTGGTCTTCTGACTGAAATGGTGTACTTTCAATCAATTTCTATATACCGATGCCAAGATGTCAATATTTATTTATTTTACTGAATTAGACTTAAAATAACTTTATTGTCACTTTGAATGTACACTAATTGGCATATATTAAAATGAAACGTCATTGCATACAGCTCTCAAAGGGTCACCACATCCAATATACACTACATAAACCTGACTAAACAAACAAACAAATAAATACAAAAGTATGCATATACCCAGATATATTATATCACATAGAGAAATAACACAGTCTAGTTTGAATGTATACATGGCAAGAAAGATGAATCTTGCAAGTTTACCAGACAGATGGCATAGGGAACAAAGCTATTACAGAGTCTGATAGAAAACTTGAAATAACCTGTTGCACAAAATGTTGCCAATCAAGGCTAGGGTGTTATGACAAGGTATACCCTTGATTAGTTTGAGGAGAAGTTCTTCTCTCCAGATTGTATCATAGGTCACCAAGAGGTCAAAAAATAGAGGCATTTTTTCTTTTTCTTTGGAATCCGTTCTCCAGATAAGAAGTTAGTGAAAGGACTTGATCACTGCAATCATGTTTGTGGCAAAATCCAGCTTGTTTATTTGAATTGTAGATTCTACTGCTTGGGCTATTCTGGTTTAACACAAGTCTTTTAAAAGTTTGTAGGTGACACACAGAAGAGCAATTGGCTTGCAACTTTGGGAAAGGTCTGGATCTTTCCCTGGTTTCAAAATTGCAAGAATATAATGGCCTCTGATATTGGAAGCAATATGTAGTTATCAGGATCAGTGGCATTGTCAGGGAGAACATGATCCTATATAAGATGTTCATATATTCTTGAATGTGTCATTACCAATTTTCCCCTCCTGACAACACTTAAATTCTTGCTCTCCTTTCTCAAGTTTTAAAATAACATCAGTATATTTTGTTCAACCAAAGCCAGCTAGGCTGCAGAACCTGGCTGACCTTGGAGTGATCTTGAAAACTTAATATGTTCAGCCTAGGTGAATGTTAAGAAAAATCTCCCAGAAGAAAACAGTGAAAAGTCACACCTGCATTATTACTAAGGAAAGGATATGGATATGTGCAGAATTTGAGTCCAACTCAGAAGAAGTATTTTTTTCACCCTTTTTTAAGGTAGTGATTTCTGGGACGGAGAGGTAGGATTGTCAACATCTTTGGACAAGTAGTGAAGAATTTAGGGATCTTCCATGTCTCACCTTCATAATCAGCATTTTGGAGTCAGTTTAGAAATCAGGGGTCTTCAAATTTGACAGCTTTAAGACTTGTGGACTTCAACTCCCAGAATTCCTCCTCCAGTGATGTTAGCTCAGGAATTCTGGGAGTTGAAGTCCACAAGTCTTAAACTTGCCAAGTTTGAAGACCCTTGGTTTAGATATTAGAAACAAAAAGCAGCAGCATTTTTCCATAACCACTAGATGTCACAACAACCCTTTTTCTGTCAGTAGAAAGACAATTTTGAAACAAGCTCATTGCATGCCTTTCCCAATCCAAAACTGTGGGCAGCTTCTTTCAGCCCTACCCTTACTCTATTTCTTGAACTGTTGACTGTTACTAGGCTGGCATGAAATACAGGCTTAAGGAATAATTGCTAAGAAAAGGATATGGATATGTCCAGAATTTGAGGCCAACTCAAAGGAAGTAGTGCTTTCTCCTGCTATTTAGCAGGTGAATCTCTAGGACAGAAGTAGTTGTGGGTTGTGGGTGGGTATATCAAAGACCTTGAATAAGTAATGATGCATTTGAGGGGTCTTATGCACCTTAACATTCATAATCAGCATCCAAATGCTAGTATATTACTGTATTATATCCTCTTCAGAGTCATATAGTAGCTTTTAAATAAATGAATAAAGAAATGTTGTTTTCTGTATATTTTACAAGATTTGCACATGAGTCTAAAATGCATTCTAAGAACCCAGAATGAATTTGTTAACAACAGCTTTGCACTTGTATGTCTTGAAATTGTACGTATCTAAGAATGGGAAAAAGAGTCCTCAAATACAAAGAGAGTGCCATTACTCAAAGATAAATACTAGGCCAAGAACTCAACATCAATTCATATTTCTTTCAAAGTGTTAAATATTCTCTGTTTAGAAAATGCCAATGGTACTTACCATGAATATTGTTTGTCTAATTCATCTAGATGTCACATCATTCTTGGGCCCATTGGCAGTTATACCTGCCTAAACCAATCAGTGGTTGATTCTGGAATTTTTTAAATCCATCAAATGAAAACAGCCACCAGGTGGAGGGCAGTTGGAGGAAGAAGACTATCCTAATGTCAAAAATAAATGGATCCTGTGTTCAGATTTGTGGTAAAATAAAAATTGAGGAATTCTGAGAACATTCTATGACTTGTAGGGATGAATACAGCAAAATCCATCACTGTAACTTTCAGAAATCAGGTGGAATTACTTGGTGTAGCATAAATACAATTTGAACTGGCAGTGGTAGAAATTTGTAGTAGAGAAAATACTTGCACACAAAAATGTGGACAAGGGAGGTTTCCTCTCACCTGAGGAAACTAAATGATAAGTATCCTGTTTTCATTTGCAGCTGGTGATTCATACCTGTGGAAAAGATGGGAATTGTCCCATTTCTTTGCCAGTTTCTGAATACCCTTCACAACTTGTGAAACCTAACTTAGCTGGGCTGTTCCAGGGATATTAGAAAACTGTGGTTCCAAAGGTTTTTTTTGGGGGTGGTGGTGGTGGTTCAATTTTGATAAGATTCAAATCTCCTTGGAGCTATTTTACAATTCTATCTCACTGCAGGTTTCCTGACAGGCCTTTTGAAGGTCACATTAATTGGGTTCAACCCAGTGCATGAGAAAGGACATGTGACTTTCAACGACTTAAAGAGGCTTCTCTCTAGGGTAAAAAAAAACCTAGCAAGGTGGAGGTGTGGGGGAGAGATCAGGCCTGCAGATCTTCTTCTCTTAGATTTGGCAGGAGCTGAAAAGAAGAGAAGCACACAGATAAAGGAACGTGATTTATCTACTTTTAAAATTGGAATTACTCTCCTGGAGCAAAATTTTGATGGCATGAAGTTCTACCACTAAAAAATATGGGGATAAAGGAAGTGATCAATTCCCACAAAAGAAAATAAGCAAGGAAAAAGAGATTGAAAGGAGGAGGAGGAGGAGGAATGGTAGAGTCATGTGACCGGGTGGAGTTAAGAGGGTGTCTCTGAACTTGTATATTGTGGTTACCAACACTGGATGCAATATTCTAAGTGTGGTCTTAACAAAGCATTATAAAGTGGTATTAACACTTCACGTGACCTTGGTTCTATCCTTCTGTTAATGCGGCCTAGGGCTGTGTTGGCTTTTTTGGCAGCTACAGTACACTGCTGGCTCATATTTAAGTTACTGTTCACTAGGACTCCAAGTTTTTTGCAGTTTCTACTATTGGGTTAGGCAGAGGTGGGATTCAGCTGGTTAGGATCGGTTTGGGTGAACCGGTTGTTAAAATTCTGCCCAGTTCAGTAAACCGGCTAATCCTACCATTGGCTGACACCACCCCTCCCATATTCCAGGCAATTTTCGACCATTTTCCGGGGTATTTTCTGGGGTGTTTTTCAGTCATTTTCAGGCAATTTTCCTGAAAAACAGCCAGAAAATGCCCCCCCAAAATGCCTGAAATTGGTCTGAAAAATGGCCTGAAAAATGCTCAAAATTGCCCCCCAAATGCCCACAAAAAACAGACCGAAAAATGAAGGAAGGAAGGAAGGAAGGAAGGAAGGAAGGAAGGAAGGAAGGAAGGAGGGAAAAAGATGGGAATGAGAAGGAAGGAAGGAGGGAAAGAAGGAAGGAAGAAGAAAAGGAAGGAAGGAAAGAAAGAGATGGGAATGAGGAGAAGGAAGGAGGGAAAGAAGAAATGAAGAAGAAAAGGAAGGAAGGAAAGAGATGGGAATGAGGAGAAAGAAGGAGGGAAGGAAGGAAGTCAGGCAGGAGAGAATGAATGAAAGAAGGAAGGAAGGGTTTAATCCAACTTTAGTTTAGTCTCTTTCAGAATTGCCTGCGCAGAAGTATTGTTAATCCTTCTCCTTCTGCAATTTATTTATTATTTTGGGGGTGCAAATGGGCTTTAATTGTAAATTGGATAATTGGCTGGCTGAATGCTGATTTATTTCAGCTGATTCTTTCTGAGGTTTTTTTTTTTTTGCTTTCTTTCTTTGATCTAACTGCTTTCATTAATTTTTGCTTTCTGTATGGAATCAAAGGAGATGACATAGGATTTGGATTTTATTAACCTGTAAAAACTTTTTAGATCAAAATAGTCAGGAAATATCTTCTCAGCCTTCTTCACTTCCTCCCTGCTTTGAACAACATCATATCTGATTACAGAGAAAAGGAGGAGGATGACACCCGGGAAAGCAGAGTCTGCAAGATACAATCTTTAGTTGATTTTTTTTTTTTTGTAAAGGTTTGACGAATTGTTGGAAGAAATATCCATCTGGTTCAGTTCCAAGCTGAGAGAAAGACACTGGAAACATGGAGGCTGATTGGAAAGATGGTTTATTGATGAACCAGAACCACGTGTTTTTGGTTCTGGGCAGCTGACCACAGTGAGTTGAGAGTGGGTGGTTTTTATATCTTCTCTAGGCTTTGCACTTGAGCTTCCTGTTCCTGTGC